CATTTTGGAATGTTCTGTTTCTAAAAAATACAAGAATTCTTTTAAATGTGTCCTGCTTACACCTATTTGGAGGTGGAGCATATTAATAGCTAGGGAGAGAGGATTTTCTGACATCAAAACTATTTGTCACAGGGCATTTTAGGCGTGTTGATGTTTCTCTGATACATCTCAGCAAATCTGAATGTTACACTATGCTGAGAGATGGTGCTTTGTGCCCTCTGCACACATGCTGCAGAGGCAAGGAAGGCCAAGCAAAGGAAGGCATTTGGTACCTTACAGCTTCACTGACCTTACTTCACATGCCTAAATTAGTCTGCAGATGACCTGGAGCTCTCTATCCAACTCTCTCTATCAACCATGGAAACAGTGGAGGATAACTACTGCCTGATATCTTGAAGGCAAGTGCATAAAGCTGGTGTTGTGAGCATGACACCAGTTTTGGGCATGTTACTCATCCTGTCACCAGTGGTTGTGGAGCCTGTCTGGCTCCTCAGTCCTGCACCCTTGCATGGAGGGTGAGAGTTAAGACCCTCTGTACATTTTGACACCCACCCACACCTAGCAATGCTGCCTTTGAAGGAGGAGAAAAGCAATTCTGTGAACACACCAATGATGCAAAGGCTTCAAAGCAGAAAGAAAATGGAAGCAAAACATATTTCCCTCAGAGAGTTGTATCAAAAGAGTAATTTTTGGTTTTTAATGTCTGGGAAGTGGAAATTAAAAGCAGGCTATCCACCAATGCATTTATGGTATCTGAAACTCCTCTGAGCCCTAGGAAAACATAAAGCTCTGCCCTTTGGTCTTCTTTTCACTCTGCCTGGGTAAGCTCACTTCATGAGGCAGCATAATTTGCAGTGACCTTTTCTGAAGCTGCTGATACACTTCCTGCTTTGCTGGAAACCACCTTTTTAGCCATGCATGATGTGACTCCACATACATTGGAGTATAAATTTCAGGCTTTGTCATTAAACCCTGCAAAATAATCCTGTGCTGTAAGCAGCTGTACTGGTGCAGGATGCTATTGGTTCTGCTGGGCAGTGTTAAGGGGTGGTTTTTGAAGGCTGTTTGGCTCTTGTTGCACCATAGATAAATGCATGGAATCAGTGAGGGAGGGTCATCTTTTATAATTATTCTGCCTCTTACCTGTACAGAAGAATGATCATGCAATTTTATAAAAGGATTTTCAGACTTACTCCATATGTGAGTATTAAAGTCTACCTCTGTAACCATATATCTAAAGCCTTATTCACATGTAAACATTTACTAAGTTCTTAAATCTGGGTTTTGCCTCATATAAAATGGGAAAAGTATTTATTCTCATATAAGCCTTCTAGAGTCAGAAGTTTTCCTTCAACTGTAACTATTTCAAGATTTCAGCCCCCGCATGTGAGAATGGCAGAACACGTGACATAATAACATACATGTTTTCTTAATATTTTATGAATTATTATATATTGCTATTTTAATATAATTATTTTCATGGATACAAATTAGAACTATACCAGGCAGTCTGAAATCACTCAAGAATTTGAATCACTCAAGAACTACTGTCTGAAGGCTGTGCAGCAAATTTACCCTTGAAATTTGGTGAAATCATAATGACCAGATGATTTGATTAGGTCTTTTCTTTTTCTTTCTTTCTTTCTTTCTTTCTTTCTTTCTTT